GCTCTTCGATCCAAGTTTTATTTGGTTTTAGCTCTTTGTATGCCTTTTTTGTGCTTCCAGTTTGGCTTAGGTGTTTTTCAATAGTTTTATATCTGTAGTTGGCGTAGTCTCTTTTTATGTATTTGTTGACAAGTTTGTAAAGGGCCGAGATTGCGTTTCTTGTTGCTCTAGTTTTATTTGAACTTTTTTGCAGGTCTTGTCTTCTTTTAAAAAGTTTTAATGTACGCTCTGAAATTATTTTGTGGACTTTCTTTGGGTTATGTGCTACTCGGGCGTTTTGCAAGCTTAAGGTGATGATTTTAATTAAGTTGTCGTAATACTCCTGGACTGGGACAGTAATCTTAGTGAAAATTTGGTCTTTCGATATGTAGGAGCTTAGGTATTCTTTAAACTTTGTGATTTCTTCTTCGCTTGTTATTGTGTTAGTTTGACGGTTAGTAAACTTTGTTCTGTTTTTTTTGAAGTGTGTGTCATATGATATTGTTGCTCTTACTGGCCTATGATCCGAAGGGTAGTTAGTGTTTAGTACTTCTATGTTTTTAAATAGACGAGGACGATTTGACAGCACAAAGTCAATTTCATTTTTGTTGCCTCCATCCGGGGATCGCCAGGTCCATTTATTTTTTTGTTTTTTTTTGAAGAAAGTGTTCAAAATGGACAGTTTGTTTTCACTGGCGTATTCGATTAGTCTTTGTCCTCTCTCGTTTCTAATTCCATATCCGTGTGCTTTCATGATTAAATGTTCCTCATTTTTTGGTATCCCAATTTTAGCATTCAGGTCGCCCATCAGTATGAAGTCTTTGTGTGCTAGTTCTATTGCCCTATTTACTGTTGCATAAAATTTATCGATTTCATCATCGCTAGCTTGTGCAGTAGGGGCGTAGACTTGAATGATTGATAAGCTGGTATTCTCGAATTTCAGGTTTAATATGGCTACTCTTTCAGAAAGGCCGAGGTAGCCTTCTATATTATTTTTAAGATGGTATTTAACTATAAAACCTATGCCATGTCTTCCAGGTGTGTGGCCTGTATAGCAGAAAATGAAGTTTTCATACTCTTCAATTTTGTTTCCAATACGCCTTGTTTCCGCTAAACCTAGTATGTCATATTTAATTTCTTTGAGCGCTTCGTTTAGCTCTAACAAACGTTCATATGATGAAAGTGTTTTAACGTTATATGTCAGAATGTATAACGTTTTTTGTGAGGTTTTTTCATTTTTTGGAGGGTTGTTTGGAGGGTTTTGGTCATGATCATCCACGGTGACCAGCCGGCTTGGACGATGAGTTTGGTATTCTGATAGTGGTTGGTGTATGTTGACGCTTCGTGAGGGGGGCGGTAATTGCTATATATTAACGTTATTATTTTTCTGCAGATCTGATGAGTTGTTTGTGTTTCTGTTGATCAGATAATTCAGCATGCCCGGTTTTGAAGTGCCTTCCGATAGGCTTGAAGTTCTTCTAATTTGTGTTTGTGATTTATTTTTCTTGTAAACCTGTGTGTTAGTTTCGGCTCCCTTTGTGGCTTTGTTTTCAGGCGAAGTTGAAAGCATTCTTTTGTTATTTCCAGCTGTTTTGTTTCTTTCACTTATGACAAGCTTATCGTATTTTATTTTTACAAGATTTCCCTTTTCCCTTTCGATTCTTGCTTGTACTTGAAGCTCTTTCCTCTTCTCTAGGATATTTTGTGGGAAATCTTCCGTTATGTAGTAACCGGTATTTTTTAGTGCACTTCTATTTTTAAACAAATAAATTTTTGTGCCGAGTGTACAAAAAGTGACAATTATTGGTCGAGGTCTTTCCCCTTTCTTGCCTATTCTCCTAACTTCTTGAATATCCCTGCGGTCTAGTTCTTGAGAGAAGTGTTCTTTGATAAAGTTCACTATGAGACTTTCTAGGTTAGAATATGATGTTTCTGTTTCTTTAATTCCGAAAAAGACGATGTTGTTTTTTCTCGCCTGTTTTTCTATAAAATATAGTCGTTTTTCTTGATTTTCACATTTTTCCCTTAGATGTTCGTATTTTTCATTGAATAGTTTAAACTTATCTTCCAATATGCAGTTTATATTTTGTGTAACTTTTTCTGTCACTTTCTCCCCACTTTTTTCTATTGCGGCTTTCTGTTCATCTAAATCTCTTCGAATTTTTCGAAGCTCTTGCATAATTTCCTCCATTTTTATACTTTCCAGATTATTTTATAAGTTGTAAAATACTATTGAAGTGATTGTTATGTTACTACTAGCGCCCTCTTGTGTTTCCGCTTCAACTTGCCCAGATGGCCAGCTCCTTGACGGATCGATCGCAATGGTTCGGACTTGTGTCAGTAATACGGGTAGTTTTCCACAGATGTCGCTAGTGTCTTTGTGCAGTTCTCGCTCACTTATTATTGCAAGTTATTTTTGATATTGAAAAAGTAGGGTTCTTTATATCACTTTATTTTAAAAAAACAATTGCCGGGATTATGAAAACACACTTTACTTCAGTTTTAGTTAGTCTTTCACTTCGAATGCATAAAGTGTGGAGGGTATCTCTGTATAAACACGTAATACGACTAATTCGCAGCCAAGATGTTTTCACTGATTACATAGTTTCCACTCAATGTTAGATATTGTCCACAATGTATGATGTAAAACACTTGTTTATTTCTTCACTTTTGTCTTTTCCGCTTAGTAAATGCACTTATTTTTATTTTGAGATCACTATTAGTACGGAGCCGAAGTAAACATTGGCACTATAGCGCCCCCTCCTCATGACATGTGAGATTCAATGGCGGATGACGCTTAGATTATTTTGTGCATTTTATTGTTATAAAAACTTGTAGAGAGATAAACCGAAGGATACGATTGAGGAAGCGATATTAGTGAACTTTAAATGTCGTTTCTTTGTATTTTCAGGTGAGATAGAAGTGTAATTGTCATAACTTATTATTATTATATTATTATTATTTTGAAGATAATCCTCAATAATATACCTTATATATATATACATAGTTTACATATGCTTAAAACCTTTGTTGTAATTTTTTTGTTGTGTTTTGTCTTTATCATATATTTACCACGTAAATGTAATGTCTAGACAAACTCTGATCAATATATGACGAAGATATTTAAAAACAAAATGGAAGTAGATACTAATGGAAATATTAATTATCTACTTCTACCACTCTTTTAACTTCCTACCTATTGAATTCGTTGGAGATTCTTTAATATAATAATTTAACTTTTTCGGGGATTCACCTAGTGGCATTTTTGACGTTCTCATGATTGACCCCAATATTCCATTCAGAGGTCAGAGATTTTGTTTTAACATACAACACAGATTGAATGTTCATACAGAATTGAATGTTCGGTCAAAACCACGAATTTATCTAGGTTTGGTATTACTAATGGCACGGTAATAGAAAACTGCTGTTAGGCTATTCTTTTGTTGTTTTCACTGACTGAGTAAGGATAACGGAGCCCAAAATTCTTCTGCCCCAAGATACTAGGGGAGGACTCCAAGCTCGGCAATCCAATTGTGACTCTTGAGTTGCGGATGTCTTACCATCAGGTGACCGGTCTTCTCTTTTGCTCTCCTATACAAGACGAAACAACTTGCCCATTGAAAAGCAAAATGATGATGAAAATATATATCTAGATAATCTAGGGACAGATTTTGCACAAAATACCCGTGTACCATATCTACGTAGTAAATTTGTAAACTAGAAGCATTTATCAGTAAGAAAATGGCTTACCTCATTAGGAAGCACTTCCAACCTGTTGACGTCAGACCTGTCATAAAATATCAGATAAGATTTAAATCTGTAATTACAAAATAAAGCTAAAGGGTTTTTGTCTGTTTTAAACTTGACAATCTCTGGAACTATCTGTCAGATTTGAATGATTCTTTTTGTACTTAATAGAGTATTTATTAAGAAACAATGTAAGCTAAAAAACATCACGTTAGGCACGCTAGGAGTGGAGTAGGTATAAGGCAGGTGAAGCTGCGAGTAACGTCTAGAAAACTATTAAACAGAATTAAAAGATTTCATGGACAATGTTACGAAAAAGTGTTTGTTTTAAGATAATTTGCGTTTTCTGTATCGTAGGAGGTAAACCGTATACTAAAATATACCTATAGATTACTTACTAAAACAATGGTATCAGTAACCAGGAAAACGTTATACCATTGTATCAAATCTTAAAATGTTGTAACTTAATTTATTGTTATTATAAACTTTGAATAAAATTGTTCGTACGTGGTATTCTTACTAATTTAAGATATCAAACGTATTTCGGGGATACCTATGCGCCAGAAGGCCAATTCCCGTAATAAAAGTTTAGTCTCGCATCAGTTCCGATCAACTTTCGATCTCACAACTATCATAAAAGGTATTTTCGTAGTAAAGTATTAAATATCCAACGTTGACTGTAACGTGATTATATCGTATTGTGATCGAGGATTGCAACTAAAATCTGCTAGTCTTAGTAATACTTTATTATTTTACTATGAAAATACCTTTTACGATAGTTGTGAGATCGAAAGTTGATCGGAACTGAACTTTTAATACGAGAATTGGCCTTCAGTTCGCTTTAACCCTTGACAGCATGCTCCTATTATAACCTGGTAGGGAAAAAGACACGTGGGTATAACTATGTATGTGCACTACTGAAACAAACTTGAAGCAAACAGATACCTTGACAATAAATACATACGACATATTTACATACGAAATACATACTTTACGATAAACACTACTCTGGCTGTCAATGCCCTTTCCTCGACTGACAGTATTTTAATTTAAAAAAAACACATTTTACCAAGTCGCTGTCATCCTCTGACCTACGTCATAATATATCCATAGTTATAATATAATTGTAAAAGTCAGTTTGTTTGTTACGCTTTTCCGCCTAAACTACTAAACCGATTTAAAAAAATGTTTTTACCACGAAAACCGACATAAACGCGGGCGGCAAAAGCTAGTATATAATAAATATTATATTTTTTCTCTTTCTTCTTCCACAGGGCGTGTCCTTCATCGGTTGGCATCAGCGTACTATGCTGGAGCGAGTCCTGTTGGTGATCAGCGCTATACTCTTCATTGCGCTCCTCCTAACTATAATTCTACTCCTAACCATCAGAGGACCAACGGATCTGCCAGTGCCACCGTGCTATCAACCAGACACTCCAGGTTTGATTTTTATAATATTATCTTCTAGGCTGAATGAGTGATAAGAATAAAGAAGGGAATGTTGCGATGGTTAGCATACGTTGAAATGTTACGTGCGTGAAAGACAGTGCGGGTAGACCCCGAAATACGTGTACTGTTCAAATCTGCAGTGGACCAAAGTGGTATAAAAAGTACCAAGTTAATGTTGTCTGATGAATAATAAGACACAAGTATTATGACTGGATCGTAGTAAATGGTGCTTTACTTAGGACGAGAACAGTGTATAAACATTTATATGTGTATGTACGTATACTCTAGACATTTCGTGTGACATGTTGAAACTAATCTCAAATAAATTAGGACTCCGTAGTGTTCGCCTATATTATGAAAACACGGTCGTGACCGAAATAATCATTAAACAAAGAAAATTATTCACGAAACGATAGTAAAACTATTCATGGTGGATCAACTACGGTTTAACTGGGCCATATACATAGAAATGCATGTTTATTATACTTACGTATGTGTTGTATATACGTGTTGTATATACACAAAGATAACTTTTCCTTTTTTTGTATATTGGTTACGCTTTCACGCACTATGTAAGTGGTTGCCACCACCCATTGACAAGAAAAAGTATACCTTTACAAAATTCCAAAGATAAATTACCATTCCTACCTATCATTCTGTATGCTTCTTGCAGAACCAGATGTCTGCTTAAAAGGTTCCTGCATATACACGGCAAGCGAAGTCATTCGAGCATTAGACGAGACACAGAATCCTTGTGATGACTTTTACGAGTTCGCCTGCGGAGGTTGGATCAGGAATAACCCTATACCAGAGGGCAAATCCAGTTGGGGCATATTCAGCAAGATTGAACTGCAGAACCAGTTGATCATCAGATACGCTTTAGGTGAGTGGCCCTTCTGAAAGAGAGAAAAATAGTAATATTTTATAATAAAAATAATAACTTAATAATAACTTGTCACATTTCAAAAACGGCAGTCTGATCCCAAACTAGGCAGAGCCTGTACTATGATAACGACTGCTGATAAACATACATTTATAGTTCTAAATACTTACATATTATAGATAAACTACACACAGACACAGAACTAATGATCGTGCTCATCACACAATATTTGTCCTGAGTGGGAATCGAACCAACGACATCCGGTTTAGCAGCCAGGGTCACTAACCAACAGGCCCATGGAATTTTCTTTATATAGTCACACTGCTAACTCATTGATTTTTTTACTTTTTTGTGGATACTAACTTTCGTAAAAATATCTTTGTTTATAAAAGGAAAAGAATTGGTTCAGAAATAAAACTCAGACTAGAAGGCATTAAAAACTTTTTTCACCAGCCTGCTAATTCAAACTTTGTTTTTAAATATTTATAACACATTTAGTTTTAGTGTTTCCTTTTTTTAAATGACCAATTCCATCTTGAATTGTTTGTTTGTTACGCTTTCACGCCTTAACCACTAAACCGACTTTAAAAATTCTTTTATCAACGGAATGCTACATTATCAGCGAGTAACATAGACTACTTTTGCCCGCGATAACCGACATACATGCAAAAGGAGCCGCGGGCAAAAGCTAGTCTACATATATATAAGACTATTAGGTATTTCTTTTCTGTGAATACGTATTTACATAGCTAAATGATGTAACCCAACATAACCCTTAATAGTCAACTCTACGTAAAAACCAATAAATCAGTGTAAGAAAACTTCTAAGTAAAATTATCGTTGATATAATAATGTAGACGACAAAACACTGTGGTTTTTCGGTACTTGTGTCCTGAGTGACATAGTACAATAATGATATTAGGATATTTACTTACGGATGTGTTAAAAAGTATGTATTTGGACATAAGCCAAGGTAGAGTTAAATACGTATGTAAATGTTTCGACAGATTTTTTTTGTTTATATTTAGTAAAATCAGATAGACAATTAATTCTAAACGTTCCTGGGGTGTTTGGTAACTGATTATTTTCTAATCAGTTTAGTTATTGGGAAAATACGCACACTTACATAATGAAAAGAAGAAACAAAATTTAAAATTATGCTCTCTGTTACTATATTTAATGATAATTTAATGATCATTTTGTTACATTTTATCCACTCAAGTAAATAGTTTATGCTTATTTCTTCGTTGGCCTGTATCATTATGTACCAGGAATTCCGGAACTATTTTGGGCAACACACCCCTTTTCTAACATGAAATGATACCTCAGACCCCCATAGCCAAATTACTACATGCTTGTCGACTTGATGAATTTTAAAATAGTAAAACAATGATACTTCCTACTAAAATGTTAGTCGTTCTTATAATAAGTTGGTACACGTAACACAACTAATACAGTACCACAAAAATTTCAAATAAAAACTTGTGTTAATTAATGGGGGTCAATTTTTAGATCTCGTCAACTTCCAAAATCAGTTTTCGTTTATGTTGACCCCTGGGACGCCGATTTCGACCCCGAGGGGTCAATATCGACCACTTTGGGAATTATTGCTATATACTTTTAAAATAGAAGATGGCATTTTCAGAGCATATTGATTTCAATATGCTTTTCTTTGTATTCACAAAGATAGGTATGCGGATAGATCGCTGATCATAAACATTAGATCAAGAAGATCAAGGTCGCATACCTGTAACTCCTACTAACTGTTGCCTATTTTGAGCCTAAAACATTAAAATCATCACACATCATATCACATCAACAGCCTTTAATAGTCCACTGCTGAACATAGGCCTTTCCTTAGAATGGAGGTTTTGGCCTACTACTCGTATACTACCCTGGCCAGACGGGTTAGTATAAGGTTTGTCTTACGTTTCCCGTCTCGTTGCAGTGTTATAGTCCTGTGTAGTTTGCTCCCTTATTACATTAAACATTAAAATAATAAGCGATACTTGTAAGCAATATTATGGTTACAAATACTGTATCTGAACTTGACTGTACCCAGTTTCGGCACTTGTTGATTGAAGTATTCTAACCATATAAGGATGATATTAGAGTCTCATTGTGAATTACAATCGAGAACTATCGTTTATCGTTCCACTTCATCATTGTATATGTACAATATATTAGACCCTATTGTATTATTTCAATAAATATTTCAGAACGTGATTTTTACGATTACGTTTGTGCGAATTACTTTTGCTACCTAGCACTTATTTAGTTATTATTTGTCATGAATATCGACCTACAAACCACCGGCACTAGCATTTTCACATTAAGTGTGATCACTTAGCCTGGTCAAAGGATCTCCTTTATCTTTCTGGTATATTTCATACGATTCTCAGTTACATCTTTTAACCTGTTGGTTTTAAACAAAATTATTAGAGAGAATCGTTATGGGGCTCGTTTACTCTGCTGTAGAATATCCTAATTGTTAATTTAGGTCACAAACTGTATTCTGTGTAGTCTGTGTACCAAATGCCATGATCGTTCAACGGTTTCTGCGTAGCCGAATAACACACATCCATCAATCAAGTCAATTATCCATTCTCAGAAACTTTGGCGTCTATAATATTAAAGCCGCTTTTCTGCTTCGTAATATGATCCTTATTTGTATAGCTGAAGAATGAATTTTCTTTAACTGTATTGTTTTCTAACAAATTTCAGAAAAAGTAAACATCTCGAAACCTCCCGACGCGGAAGCCAAAGCCCGTATTTATTACGATGCTTGCATAGACACCAATGAGACCATAGAGAAATTAGGAGAGAAACCCTTAGTGGGTGTCATCAAAAAGTTGGGAGGATGGCACCTACTGCCCAGCACCATGGGGAAACAGGAGTGGAATCTTCAGAAACTTGTGCAAGACGTACAAAATACGTAAGTAGATTTCTATTTAAGGCAACAGACGTAAGAGGACGGTTTTTCAAAATTTCCAACAGAAAAATGAGGGTTTTATAAATTTAACGTGTGCATATGAAAATTTTCTGTAGCATCTTAATTAAAATTTGGTACACACTGTGTTTTTGCATGATATTTACGGACGCAATGTCCGTAAATATCATGTGTCAAAAATCACATGTGTGTTTGGGACCCAAAAATATGTGCAATGTAAATAAATGAGTGCAAATGAAGGGCAGTTTGGTAGTAGGTGCTTATTGTCAGCGTTACAAATATAAAGGTTGATGATTCCTTCTTTCTACCATTTGTAGTCTTGATCTAGTAAACTAGTCATGTAAAATTTTACCATGTTATTTGTACAAACTCTCCTAGTACGAGCATAGAAAAGATTTAGAGTACGGAACCCTGTGATTAATACTCACACTTGTCCCAAAATATTATACTTTTCCAGATATTTAACTTTATTTTATAACTTTATATATTTTAACTTTTACAGATATAACTTGGGTGGTTTGTTTAATTGGGCGGTGACAGAGGACGACCGAAATTCTTCTCAACATGTAATTGTGGTAAGAATTATCGTATCTTTTATAATGTCGGTCTATTCGTCACGTTTTGTGGTTGAACGTACGCTGAAAAGCTTGCAGTTGACACCTGGGGCGGTATACTAGGGTTCTTGTGTCAACTAGGGTGAATTGCCGTGCGTTTAGGCGATTCTGCCATACATATTATGGAATTTAAATGTAGTTCACTTAGTACCCATAATATTTTGTGGCCGTGATGCTTAAAAGTGTTGTGTTTAAAAGGGTGTATGCCTATTTTACTTCATTTTGTCTCCCGCTTTGCTAAGTAGGGAAGTGGATTTACTGTATTTCCAACTCCTCCAACTTTCTTCTGATTAATTTCGTTGCGGGTTCCAAGACAGTTTAATTTTTTTCCCGGGGCTTCCCGAGTGTCATAACTCGGTGTGTTCGTGGGTCACTGCTGTTGATCCTGGTGTACGGGAGTTAAAGTGGTGGGCGTGTGGGAGGGATTGGTCCCATTTAAAAAAATGCCGGTCTTTTGCCTAACTTCTACAATAAGTACCGTGACATACAACTTGAAGAATGACGTAATGTTTTATAAATCAACATTTCTTACTAGACAGTCTCGGTGGTGCAGTGGTAGCGTATACGACTGCTCTGCTGAGCTCTCGGGTGCGATTCCCGGGTCGGACCAAATGTTTGTATGATCTGCAAATATTTCTTTCGGAGTTTGGGTTTTTATGTATAATATGTATGTATTTACAAAAAAAAGTACATAAGTATTCTATTAGTCAATCTAGCTTTCATAGTACAATCTATGCTTAGTTTGAAGAGTGTCAGATTTCCGAAAATATTATTATTACTTTTCCAGCTCGATCAAGGGGGACTGAATTTACCCACGCGTGACAACTATCTGAACCGGACAGCTCACAAAAAAGTCTTGGATGCCTATTTGGACTATATGACGCGTATATGCGTACTGCTAGGCGCAAATAAAACAGAAGCACGCGCACAAATGAATAGAGTAATACTCTTTGAAACAGAATTAGCAAATATTACCACACCCTCCGAAGATAGAAGGGATGAAGAAGGGTTGTACAACCCTTTTACGATAGAGACATGGCAGAAACAAGCGCCTTTCTTAAATTGGAGTATGTTCTTCAACGATGCTTTTAAGTTGGTCAATAAAACTGTAAGTATAAAATATTCTTTATCAAATTTTAGAAAACGTAAACATGAATAACGTAAAAAACAGAAGTAAATTTTGGAGAAATGTATATAAAATGTGAATGGAGTTAAAACAGTGACCGATAAACACAAGTAGCGATAGTGTCGCTTTTCGAGACAATTTTTGCCCCGCACAACCAATCTGTGGAACGGGTTATCATCTGCGGTATTTCCGGACCGATACGACCTTCAAACCTTCAAGAAAAGAGCGTACTCCTTCGTAAAAGGCCGGCACCGCGTTTGTGACTCCTGAGTTGTAGACGTTCATGGGCGGCGATGGTCACGTTCTATCAGGTACCCGTCTGCTCGTCTGCCACCTATAACATAAAAAAAAAAATTGAACGGACACGGACACGAATAGGAACAGGATTTTTCTGTAAATACACATTCTTATTTTTCCTTCTCTCAGTTCATACAAACAATTTGTATGAACTGAGAGAAAGAAAAATAAATTTGGTATTTTTTGCTCTCAGAAAGTATTTTCGATTTTTTTATTGGTAGTACAAGTAGATTACAAATTGTATTGCGGTATCATGTCCCCAACCACGCGTGTCCAAATCTGCGAGCATCAAAAACCTATTGAAACTTAACCTATTGATTATTAGCCAAAGTCACCTTAACTGCTACGCCATATGCTAAACTGGATGGTGTGTAGGATTTTCTCATTATTAGAAAGCCGAACAAGGCAAAATCTATCAATCCATATACCTATGTCGAGTAATGGAACAATACATGGTGTATGTATCGTTCGATACTCGTCGGAGTCACAAACCTATTTCTTGAGTCAAACGGCCGAAGACTTCAACAACAATTTGGGACTCCAGAAGACGACTGTCTTCCAGAGTGGTTTTAGGTAACTTCAATAGATCAACCGTGTGTCACATTTTTGAAATAATATTTGTGTCATTTCATCTTATAAGAACTATTTTGGCCAAGTACATAGGTATTTGTTTATTACTTTTATTTTCAGATACCGAACACAGAACGTATAGTGGTATACGCACCAGAGTACTTCAAGAATCTGACTAAAGTGATCAGGAAGTTCAGCAAGACAGAAGAGGATAAAAGGTAAATTTATAATACTCAACTAACTAATATAGGGTAACTTCTAAAGAATATTGGAGTGTACCGGAACAAAATATATCAAAAGTAAGTTCATCAAATTATTCAATGGACTTGTAAATATAAATATACGTTAACCAGAATGGCAAATTACAATATTATAGTCTAAAAATATTTATTTAATCAACAGGGTGTAATGGTCATCGTAACGAATACTGAAATAGTGTATTCAGAGCATGATTCTGAGTCGAAAATCATTGGAACTTTCTTCCGGTTTTTTTTTTTTTTCTAATTTTCCATTTTTTTGGGTAAAAATGATACCACAATGAGTAAACAGAACATTTCACCGTAAACAAATTAACAAATACCGCATACAGTCAAAAACTGCAATGTAATTAATCAAACAGACGAAGCGCGCGGGGCTTCCTTCCGGCCGTCGACTGTTAGTGTAAGTAGACTGTTTGCAAGAAATACACATGTAGTTATTACTTTTGTGCGATACCAACGGGGAATGACTTTAACCTTTGACAGCTGATTACATAAAAAGTTTAATGTTCCGGCAGAAAATTCCAATGATTTTAGTCTCAGAATGATGGTCTGAATACACTATTTCAGTATTCGTTGGGATGTCCCTTACATCCTGTATAAATATGTTTTTATACCATATGGGGTCAAGCCGTTGGGTAGATGGGGTCCTAGCGTTCGTTTTGAAAGTAGATAAACGACTGATCTACACTTTTCGTCAGCAGAGTTGGGTACAAAATTAGCAATGCATTGAAACGTGGCTTCCAGCCTTCTGGGAACACTACCAGAGGAGTTCTATGACATGCAGGGTCCAGGGTCTCCTTTCTACAGGACCATCAGAATCGCAATCGTAACCTTTGTATTAAGATTTAACCATTTTTCAATTGTATTTTTCCAGGACCCTAACAAGCTATATGATGTGGCAAGTATCACGTTCCTTATCAACGTATTTATCCAAATCGTTTAGAGACGCGACCAAGATCTTGAGGAAGGCGCTCTTTGGCTCTGAAGGTACAGAGGAGTCATGGCGGTATTGTGTTACAGATACAAATAATGCTATTGGTAAGTCTATGAACTCTCTAGTCAATTCTAGTCTAGATAGTCTAGAAATAAAACTTTCGAAGAATACCAATTAGTTTAGGGAGGTAGGGGACACCAGTTGCTTAATCAAATTGAAAAGCTCGGAGTAAAATAGTCCTTAGTTACACAATAGTCCTTTTAGGTACTGGGTTTAATTTAGTTGGAATTAAAAAATACTTTATACCACTACTTCACCCGCCATATTTATTTTTATCCCTTGCAAAAAGTTAGTTTCCTGGATGAATTTCGGTATCTTTTTACCCTTCTGTACTCCTCACAGCCGATATGCCAAAATTTATTGACAATTGATGATTAAATTGAAATTCCTATTAATTTCCACCCACTACCTGCAGGTTTCGCAGTGGGAGCCATGTTTGTCCGCGAAGTCTTCCATGGCGAAGCAAAGACCCAAGGAGAGATAATGATTAACAATATCCGCAACGCTTTCAAGAGGAATCTGAAGAATTTAGATTGGATGGACACGGAGACCAGGAAAGCTGCAGAAGTTAAGGCCGATGCTATCACTGATATGATTGGTAAGATTAGAGACTTTTACATTTTTCTTAATTAGAATGGAGTTCGTATGTTGAGGAAGTCCAGGATAAATTTTCTCAATATTATTCAAATTCAATATTATTAAGGTTCAAACGACTAGTTATCTAAACTACGAGTACTAGCCGTTCACTGCAGTTTGACCTGCGTTTGTCATCACAGCGTCGTTCCTAAAGATCTAAGCGTGATGGTAAATAGCCTATGATCTTGGTAAGGAATGTAGATTGAATGCAAACGTAGTGTAGGACACCCACAGGCCAGGTGTGATGATTTGAGCAAGATGGCTGGCAGGAGCTGGATGCGAGAAGCCCAAAATCGATCTACGTGGCGTGCAATTGGCGAGGCCTATGTCCAGCAGTGGACTGCGATACGCTGATGATGACGCATTGTCAGTGCCCTTTGTTAATACTAATGAAAGTCAGTTTAAATTTCAGTTTCTGTTAAAACATATAGACTTGTTCAGGAAAGAATAAAGACAGTTTTACACTTTCCTGAAAGAGTCTCGCGGCAATGTTTTTTTTTTAATAACTGTCTTTCGTCGTCTAGGCTTTCCCGACTACATTCTTCACAAAGATGAGCTAGACAAGCAATACGAAGAGCTAGAAGTAAAACCTAATGAATATTTTGATAACAATATTGCTTTCAACGTGTACAGCTTGAGGAATGACTTGAAGAAGCTTGACAAACCGGTCAATAAGACGAAATGGGGTAAGTTCGGATCGTCAACTAGGCGATATAAATAGATTCGAGGATTTCTCTGTATAAAATGTATATATATTTTGAAAAATCGAACTAAGTAGGTACATACGTGTAGATCACAACATCATATTTGAAAGACTATAGTACAAACTATACTTTGTTTTGGTTTATATAGAACTGAGTGTCCCATATTTTGTTATTAATACTAAGCCATTTACTTGGATTTGTAGTATCGATATTAATTAAAATTCTTTTAGTCACGTGTTTTGGCGATTCCCAACTACTTTTAGGCCATATGGGACCCTTTATAAAGATACTCCTTCGAAAGAAGTATCGTTTACCTTGTTTTCACAGCAGCTAGATGACACCCTCGAAATCTTTTTATACATCATTCTTCTTTGCGTGTGCACGTGACTGAACTCCTCCTAATGTGACCGATTTTGATAAAAAAAATTGTGTGTTCAAGTGGATTCGAGAATGGTTTAAATTTAAAATTCGGTTTACTACAAAATGATTTTTTAGTTTTTTTGATTTAAGACGCGTGTACAGGACAACGTCTGCCGGGTCCGCTAGTAAATACATTTATCTTTAATTAATACGAATACCACTTTACGAAGGTTAATATTCCCAGTTTTACAATCTAGGTCGTAAGCATTTATTTTACACAGAAATGTCACTTTTCAGGCATGACCCCCTCAACTGTGAACGCCTACTACACGCCAACGAAAAACCAAATTGTGTTCCCAGCGGGCATCTTGCAGCTTCCCTTTTATGATGGGGACAATCCAAAGTGTGTGAACTATGGGGCCATGGGGGTGGTCATGGGACATGAATTGACGCATGCGTTTGATGATCAAGGCAGGGAGTACGACAGGTGAGAATACCTTTTAGTCTCTTTCTAATGCTTTGTTTTTTTTTTACTGGAGTTAGATTTCTGATTGAAATTAGATCATATTTTATGTATTTTTACCTACTCATTTCCTATATAAGTTATTCGCCATGTCAGGGGAATATATTGACACATGTAGCTTGATTTGACCCTTTTTAAAACATTTTTTTAAATTTGTAACAGATTTTTTAAACGTTTTAGCTGTCTGCTGACTTGTATTTATACTGGGGCTTTCAGTAGAGTGAATATTCCTACAGAGTTACTGGTTACCGTATAAGATTAACGTCTTTAAAAAATAAATGTTTTAAAACAAATCAATTATTTTATTGTATCGTATCGTACTCTCTCTCTCTCTCTGGTCGGTCGGTCCCTCGTGTCTGAGAATCGTGGTCAGCATCAGGATTACACCCGTAACGGATGATTTCTCTTCCCCGGTTCCTGTCCAGCGCGTCTCTTAAAACCGTGTACAGATTGAGGGACCATGTCTATTTTACTTGGTCGGTCCACCTTGTTAGTGAACGACCGCGCGATCTTTTGGCTTCGGTGTTCCCTAAGACAATCAGTTTCTTTTAATTTTCATCGCTTTTGCGCACTTTGAGGCCGTTGTACCGTACAAGAGACTTAAAATGGCTACTAATCCGGTGAATCCTGTACACCCTTCGTCATGAAAAGTTTTTATATTGGTGGCCTTCTAGCCCATCTCAGTCTATACATGAATTTATTTCTAATCCTTCAGGTTTGGTAATCTAAACCAATGGTGGAATAATAAAACGATAGCATCATTTAAAAAGCGAGCAGAATGCATTCAGAAACAGTACTCAAATTATGGCGTGGAAGGACAACACCTCAATGGAAAACAGACGCTTGGTAAGAATTTACATATATTATCTGTCCTGTTGGTATAGTGGTTAGTGACCCTGACTTCTAAACCTAAGGGCGTGGGTTCAATTACTAAGGACAAATATAGTGAGATGAGCACGATCTCACGATCATTTGCTCTGTGTCTGGATGTAATTTATCTATAATTATCAACATGAAACATAATTATATATTACTAAATCTATATATGTATTATGCATTTTATATTAATTACAATCACACCACATCAACAGCCTTTAATAGTCCACTGCTGGACATAGGCCTCTCCTTAGAAAGGAGGTTTAATTAATTACAATAATTATTAAAAAAATATTTTGTTAGTGGACTGCGATAGACTGATGATGATGATGCTTATCATCAGTTTTATCTGCTAATATAGTATGTTGCATAGACTCTGCCTAGTTTAGGATCAGATGGCTGCGTGTGAAGTGTGGTAGGTTTTTTAACAAAAAAATGTTTTACCAATTTTCCGTTACTTAAAAAGATTTTTGAATATTGTCTAAATACATAGGTTCTTTTATTAACTTCACTGCATTTGTACGAAATAAACTAGACTTTTCTTATCATTTTGTATTGACATACCTTAAAAAAAAGTCTGCTTTCGTAACATTTCTTACATCTAAAAATGGCGTGAAGCAGACGCCATATGTATTGTATTTTTTAAATTAAAGCCATATTGTTATTCGTGAGGTAATCTGTGTTACTCGTTTATGGGCTCTAATAATACCCTATACATTTAAATTGGTTCAGAACTTAAGAGACTATGGGAATTCAAAAAACTCGCATCACACGTGTATTACCCCGAAAGCATTACTCTCATTATAGTGTGATAATATGAATCTTTTTTCGTGTGATAATATGAAATTTGAACCGACCTTTCGCTAATTGACAGACCCATTAAGATTTCAGTTAGAAAACTTTTTGTTTGATGTTTAAATTTGAATATTTATTTGCTTTTTATTAAAAAAACGAAACAGTCTCTAAATGAACACGTTTCAATTGCAGGTGAGAACATAGCAGATAATGGTGGTTTGAAGGCGTCGTTCCACGCGTACCTGGACTACAGCAAGAATACCAAGCAGAATCTGACCCTCCCAGGGTTAAAGTACAATGATCGACAGCTATTTTTCATATCATTTGCACAGGTGAGCCATGAACTTGAAATTGCTACTCTAAACTTTTAGTTTTTTTTCATTCGTGTCTTTTTATTCGTGTTTTTTGATCGTGTCCCTTTCCTCATTTCTCATCAATGCAACCATAATTTGGCAGGGTACAGCTAGTAAACTTTAAATATTCTTAAAAATGTGCTAGAGGATGCTTCGATCAAATAAATGTATGTTTTTTTGATCGTAGATCAAATGCGAATAGATTTTCCAAATCTAACCGATTACTCCAGAGATTGATAAGCGTCAAACAATACTCTTTAGCTTTAGTATATTAACCATAGAGATGGAACAAGAGCCCCAATCTTGCAATAAAGGCAACAAAAGAGATGGATGGTAGTAGCCCCCTCTATCTCTTTCTAGCCGAGCTCTGTGGTTGACTGGGGAATATGATGGGTTAATATAAGTAGCTAATCGTAGCTTAGCTAAACAGAGACAGAGTGCAATATCGTATCCTTCTCTCTCGTTGCCCGTATCGCTTCCACTTACAAGCAGCTGTACTCCGTGTTCTCTCTATGATATCATCTAAGATAAGTCCGTTATAACAATATTTTGCATTATTTTAGGTATGGTGTTCAGCAATGACCAAAGAATCAACTAAAATGCAAATAGAAAAGGATGACCACACGATTGCTAAGTATAGAGTCATAGGTCCTTTGACAAACCTACGAGAATTTTCCGAAGAGTTCCATTGCGAACTAGGATCAAAAATGAACCCTAAGGATAAGTGTGAGGTCTGGTAAATTTGCTACTGAGCTTCAGTGCTACAGGTGTAATTGACAAGACCTTTTTGGTAATAGGAATAGACTTCAATCTGGTATATATTTTTTAGTTTTTAACATGGCGACCAGGGCCTCAATTCTGCTATTTTAATATTGTATCAATAGACTATGAAATGTCGTCGGCATAGTTTTTCACTTTTCGTATTCTACTATGTAAGACCAGTGGCCTTAACTGACTTGTCACTGAACTGCCACTGATACAAATGTCGTCGATGTCTTTCTAATAGTTTGGTAAACGGTACATTTTAAATTCGCAAGAAAATTATTTATTTAATTTTCCAGGTATTTCAATGTTGTTTATATCACCATTGATGACCTATATTACTATATCGACAGTCTATTGACACTGTGAATTTATGTTAGTAGAATACTTATATTTTGGCCGATGTCAATAGCGTCCCAAAGCATCTTAATAGCGTGGCAATGGAATGACGTTGGCTTGGCGTTAACGTAAAATAGCAGAATTGAGGCCCTGTCATTGTACAAAGAGAGACTACAATACATGGGTATTTTTTTTATAAAAGACTACTTATAAAGTAGTTCAGGAAGTTAAGATGTACTTTAAAACTCAGTAAGTTTCAAAATTAATCTAAAGTTGAGCTTCCAAGCTTATGCAGTGAAATCTGTAATTTGAAAACCAAAAAAAAAAAAAACTGTCATAGATGCAAGCGAATTGTCTATTCCAATTACCAAAAATAGAGTGCATTTCTTGAGTTGCCGCAACTCAAAAAAATGATATTTATATTGTGTGTATATATGAGCTTAGCTGTTGTTTAGAAAACGGGTATATGAGTTAATAGGAGTTTACGCAAAAGTAAGAATAAAATACAGAATTAATACATATTTTATAAAAGATTACTTAGTGTAATTAATAAATACCTACTGCTCACATTTAGTGAAGCTTCTATTTACAAACTGTTAAACATGACATTTTTTTGTGAATAGAAGTAAAATCTTTTTCATGAATTATAAAAAGAATGAGAACAAATATTATTAGTAAAATACCTGTTATGTTCTGGCAACATTGTGGGGGCCATTCACTGGCAAACATGTTAACCAACTTAGAAGTGTGTCCAGATATTAGATTTGCATACACATGTCCTAATTTGAAAAACAAAACACAATATTTTTAAGCGACTATAAATATAAGGCGATTCTCAATTCGACTTTATAAAACCGATTTCAATAATAAATACCAAAATTATTATCACCGACTTCAATGCAACTTTTTAAATTGCATTGAAGTAGGTAATCTTTTTTTTACTAATTAGGTATTATTACATTTAAATGTATCTCACTCGTCATGTACCTTTCTAACATATTTAATACTTATAATGTTCGTTAAATAACATTGCTATTGCTTTCTGTGTAAACTAAATTTAAATCAATATTTTATACATTGATATGTTACTCAGAAAGTTCCTAAGATATAACCTTAGCTGTAACAATTTAACGAAACTTCAAAATATAAACATGGAACTAACTTAATTGAAAATAGACGGACAGACAACCAACATAAGATGAATACTTTTTACATTTATCTTAAAATACAAATAGAGCTTCCTTATAACTCAAATAGGCAAATAGGAATTATTAATAATAATTAAGTAAACTATATTGAATCTAATATATAATGAAATAACAAATATAGAATATCTACAAGTCATCATGAACGATTCTGTCTTGATGGCCGAGTGTGACCAGTGATGACAGACTTTGATGATTCTAAGTACTTTAATTGGCAAACCCACTACTCCATAGCAATATTTATTCAGGAAATATTGAAACTTTATAATATTTTCTGTTGACTGTACCTGGTGTACTTTTTTTTAAATTGATATAGTATCTGTATATTAATATTTGAAGAAAATACTTTGTACGCATTCTTGAGCGAACGCGAACAGACAGGATTGTGGTACTTGAATTGTCCTCGTACAGACCTCAGTACCGCGGACAAGTAAACTATAGCTACATTTAACTGGTTTTGCAGTTTGCAAAAATTGGGTTTAAAATTTTCAGATTTATGCAATTGTGCTACGACATATAATCTTCACAATCCTGTCTGTTAGCGTTCGCTTAAAAATGCATTTAAAATTTTTTAGTTAATATTTTTTAATTACAAAAAGTGAAGTTAGCTGGTTTGCCAATTAAGATATTGTAATGATTTTCACAGTCCGTAAAGAAGTTAGTCGATATTGACTCACAACAAATGTACTAACAAAAATTATAATAATATTTGTATTTACTTTTAAGTTGAATGTATTAAACGTGCAATGTTTAGAAATAGTGTACTTATTATAAGTAAGATATTCGTAATAGTGCCATCATTTAGTCCCAACTGTCACAAAATATAGTTTTGTGAATCATTTTGATAAAGATGCTGGTCATTTTTGATGTATAATGTAACATGCTTATTTTGATCATTCTAGAAATATTTGTGTGATATGTAAAATGTGTGTCAGTGTTTCCTAGGGTACAGTCAGCATCAAAAATGTGTACGGTACATTTATCAAAATATTTTTTTCGTATTTTTTTTCTAAAATTTGATATGTGTACTTGTACACAGTTTTTGGGACCAACTGTACAAGATAAATATTTTTGTATATTTTACATAGGTTATTGAATATTATTTTATCGGTGTTTGCTTTGAAATGTATGTAACCATTAGGTAAATAGTTGTTTGTGTATATTTTAAGAGCAGGAGGAGTACAAATGATCGGGTGGGAATATGGAAAATAACGTTAAGTATTTGCTTAATCAAATATAAGTATGCTAAATTTGTGTTAGTAGTGTATTTGTCAATTTTTAACTCTTTATCTTTTTTATTGATTTCATAAAATATACAGCTTTATGGCATTCTATAAATATGTATACAAAATTATGCAAATATAATCGGAATTATATTACCAATACCTTTAAATTATAAATCAAAACACAAGATATTTACTACGGGGGGTGTTTAAAATGGCTACCGACACAAATATGACAATAAACTTCTTGTCTCTCGTTATCTTATATACATTATAATAATATATATAAATTCGTAATCCTTCTGTCAATGTTTATAATCGTATTTACAATATAAATTAATCGTTAAACAGTTAAGGTAAAAATATTATCAAAATCGGTCCTGCCGTTTTGAAGATTACCCGAAACAAACGGACAGACAGACAAACAGCCAAAAGTATTTAAACTGGTTTTTAGGCATAGGTGTCGTGCAAATAACCGTGTGAGCATGAAAAAAACCTATTATTTTGACATTACAAACACACTTCATTTTTATTTTATATAAAATGTACGTACCTATATAGTATTAATCTAACTTTAAATTCCATACTTACTCATTTGTTCAGAATTTTAGGTATTTCCACTATCAAAAGCTGATCGTCAACCTATTAACCTTATGTGTAATCATATAAAACGCTAACAAATAAAAAAAGTAAATCACTTTTTCTTCAAGTATAATTTTACTATTTTTCCTAATAACGCCTCTAAAATTTGACAAAACTTTTCTGGAACATTCTGTAAATAGAAATATATAACCAGGAAAGTGCCAAGTAAAAGTAAATAGGCCTAAAAGTGTCAAAATTTGGTTAAAAAAAATAAAACAAAAATTATTACCTTCGCTGTTAATTAATTAATGTCATGTAATCATATATATATATCATATAGGTTTTATTAATTAATGTAATCATATATATATATATCATATAGGTAATATCAAATAATTACTATACGTTCATTATTTGACAGAGAAGGATTTTCGTTTTTTTATTTTTAGTTAAAAGCATCCTGATTTTAACTAAAAAAGACGCAAGCAAGACGCTTTTGGGATTAATTAATTTAAATTTTCAATATAATTGTAATTCTTATTAATATTTAAATCATCAGTTTTATACATCATCTAGTCTAAACAACATCATATCGTTAAAACTTTGTAGAACACCTACCTAATATATGTAGTAAAAATCAAAAGATTATCAATACGAATAGATTTTTTAAAAGCATTGTAGTAATTACAATCAAAGATATCGTGTTAATGATAGACAACCGGAATTTCTAAAAGTTTTATAAATAAAATATTTCATATTTAATCAGTATTACATACTTTTAGTAAGTGTGCCAAAATATATAATATTCCGACAGCTGAGTTTTTAATTGACTTCATTTCATAACGTTAAGTTTTTTAGAACAACTGCGTTTATGTGTTTAAATTTGTTAATGACTGATTTATTTAATTTTGTCGAATGTCCTTGAAAATAAAGTTGAGTTTTCAAATTTTCCACAAGTGTTTCTTTTATTCTGTCATTGTAATTATTATTTACATAGAGAGAAGCCTGAGGACTCGTGTAGCGTGCCAGCAATGTCTCACGACTTGGTCGCATCGACTTTCAGATACGAAAACAGTGAAGACTGCAGTGTGCGGGCGACTAGCAATGAGCGAGTATTTGCGACCGATCGATAGCAATTCAGAATTTAGTTACTTATTTAGGGGCTAGTAGGATGTTTTATATAACAGAAGGCCGGGCGGTTACGAACTGCATCTATGAAGTTTTGTCCTGTTTTCATCTTTCTATAGTATAAAATGAAGTCGCTTTTTTTCTTGTACGCTTAGATCTTTCAAACTACGCAATGGATCCTAATGTAGTTTTCACCAATAGAGAGTGATTCAAGAGCATCATAATACATGCGTATTATAGTAGAGGAAATCCAAGAATTTGTTATGTGAATTCGTAAAAAAACGTGTTTTTGTTTGCTTACATTGCAAACGCTAGCAATACCCTACTAGATATATCAAAATAAATTAATTAAATGAATGATGTAAAGAAGTTAACCTTCTTTTTAAGAAAAGGCCTATGTCCAACAGTGGACTAGTAAAGGCTGTTGATGATGATGATGCTTTCGGAGTAATGCACGTGTGATGCGAGTTTTTTGAATTCCCATAGAATTCCCATTTAATA